GGTGGCCCGGCTCTAGGCCCCATCAGAGGTGGAGAAGGGGGATGGGCACCAGCCAGGGACTCCAGAGTTTGTAACCCCTGTGGTGGCCCGGCTCTAGGCCCCATCAGAGGTGGAGAAGGGGGATGGGCACCAGCCAGGGACTCCAGAGTTTGTAACCCCTGTGGTGGCCCGGCTCTAGGCCCCATCAGAGGTGGAGAAGGGGGATGGGCACCAGCCAGGGACTCCAGAGTTTGTAACCCCTGTGGTGGCCCGGCTCTAGGCCCCATCAGAGGTGGAGAAGGGGGATGGGCACCAGCCAGGGACTCCAGAGTTTGTAACCCCTGTGGTGGCCCGGCTCTAGGCCCCATCAGAGGTGGAGAAGGGGGATGGGCACCAGCCAGGGACTCCAGAGTTTGTAACCCCTGTGGTGGCCCGGCTCTAGGCCCCATCAGAGGTGGAGAAGGGGGATGGGCACCAGCCAGGGACTCCAGAGTTTGTAACCCCTGTGGTGGCCCGGCTCTAGGCCCCATCAGAGGTGGAGAAGGGGGATGGGCACCAGCCAGGGACTCCAGAGTTTGTAACCCCTGTGGTGGCCCGGCTCTAGGCCCCATCAGAGGTGGAGAAGGGGGATGGGCACCAGCCAGGGACTCCAGAGTTTGTAACCCCTGTGGTGGCCCGGCTCTAGGCCCCATCAGAGGTGGAGAAGGGGGATGGGCACCAGCCAGGGACTCCAGAGTTTGTAACCCCTGTGGTGGCCCGGCTCTAGGCCCCATCAGAGGTGGAGAAGGGGGATGGGCACCAGCCAGGGACTCCAGAGTTTGTAACCCCTGTGGTGGCCCGGCTCTAGGCCCCATCAGAGGTGGAGAAGGGGGATGGGCACCAGCCAGGGACTCCAGAGTTTGTAACCCCTGTGGTGGCCCGGCTCTAGGCCCCATCAGAGGTGGAGAAGGGGGATGGGCACCAGCCAGGGACTCCAGAGTTTGTAACCCCTGTGGTGGCCCGGCTCTAGGCCCCATCAGAGGTGGAGAAGGGGGATGGGCACCAGCCAGGGACTCCAGAGTTTGTAACCCCTGTGGTGGCCCGGCTCTAGGCCCCATCAGAGGTGGAGAAGGGGGATGGGCACCAGCCAGGGACTCCAGAGTTTGTAACCCCTGTGGTGGCCCGGCTCTAGGCCCCATCAGAGGTGGAGAAGGGGGATGGGCACCAGCCAGGGACTCCAGAGTTTGTAACCCCTGTGGTGGCCCGGCTCTAGGCCCCATCAGAGGTGGAGAAGGGGGATGGGCACCAGCCAGGGACTCCAGAGTTTGTAACCCCTGTGGTGGCGCGGCTCTAGGCCCCATCAGAGGTGGAGAAGGGGGATGGGCACCAGCCAGGGACTCCAGAGTTTGTAACCCCTGTGGTGGCGCGGCTCTAGGCCCCATCAGAGGTGGAGAAGGGGGATGGGCACCAGCCAGGGACTCCAGAGTTTGTAACCCCTGCGGTGGCGCGGCTCTAGGCCCCATCAGAGGTGGAGAAGGGGGATGGGCACCAGCCAGGGACTCCAGAGTTTGTAACCCCTGCGGTGGCGCGGCTCTAGGCCCCATCAGAGGTGGAGAAGGGGGATGGGCACCAGCCAGGGACTCCAGAGTTTGTAACCCCTGCGGTTGCCTTGCTCTAGACCCCATGAGAGGTGGACAAGGGGATGGGCACCAGCCAGGGACTCCAGAGTTTGTAACCCCTGCGGTTGCCTGGCTTTGCACTGCTCGGTTGAAATCCTCCCCGTAGGAAGAAGAAGATGTTTGCCGAGGAGGCCTGCTCGGCCCGGAGCCGCGCGCTTCACCACCGGGGTGTGAGATGGCACGAGGGGACGGACCCGCGCCGCGGGTTAGAAGGAGCCCTTGACCCTGCAGTAGCACTGTGAGCGCGACGTGCGCGACCTGAGCCTGGCACCTAGGGGTCCCCTGTGCCGAGGCCTTGAGCGGCCTGGCATCTCAGTGCCCCACGCACACCTTCCTCTTGCCCCCCCCGTGGCAGGCACTGTGAACCCAGGCAGGTGACAGCGCTCCGGCGCCCATCCTGCGTGGGTCTTTATACCTCGTGAGTTCAACACTAATGAGTTATGGGCTGGCCCACGAAAACATAATGTGTAAATTAGGAATTTAATGATGTGTAAGATGAAAAGCTGTGCAGGGTTGCATTTATTTAAGGCTGCCATCTTGTGTTCGCTGAGAGATTACTTGAACGACATTGACCTCCTTCGTCCACGGGATTGGGAGTGGTGCAAGGGCTGGGTGGGGTCTGGGAGGATCCCATGCTTGGGACTTGAGGCCCCTTGGGCTCTTGCATGGTCTGAGCATAATCTGGGGAGGTAAGAGTGCTCGCTTTGGGCGGGCCACTTGACTGGAAGCCTGCCCAGGGCCAGATAAAGCCCCTGGTTCTTTCCCTGGTCCCAGGTTGGCAAGGTACCAGGGGTTGCCAATTCCTGGGAACATTTGCTACACCTTCTCGTCCAGGTGCCCTCTCCCACTCTAAGGACTGGTTTTGGTTATTTGTTTTTGTGTCAAGGATAGGGGAAATTTGAAGGCAGATTATCCTTTGCCCTTCTGTCCTTAGTGAGGGCTTCCTGCCCTGTACAGCATGCTTGGGCCCAGGCCAGGAGCACCCCACCAGCACTCCACCCCCCCCCCACACACACACACACTGAGGGTTCTGAGATGGAGCCTAAGTCCTTGAGTTTTCTCGTGCAATCTGACTGTCTGGTGATGTGTGCATTTTGAGGCCTTCTCTCAAGTGGCCCTCCCATCCAGGGAAGACCTAGGAAAGTGCCAGGCAATGTTGGTAAAGCCTGAGGTGCATACAGAGCTGGCTGCCTGCTTGGGAAACCCCTCATAGCCCCCTGGGAAATGGGGGCCTTTCTTCCTATCTATGAGTACAGCCGGAACAGATGTAGAAGACCTCGGAGGAGGGAGTAAAAACAGAAGGGGAAAGGTTGGGTTCATGAACTTTGGTTTAGGAGTGAAGGCTTGTTTTGGCAAATGATAGAATGGCGAGGTGCCTAGGGACCTGTTTGGCTTTTTTTTTTTTTTTTTTTTGCTTGTTTGTTTTTCAAGACAGGGTTTCTCTGTGTAGCCCTGGCCTTGGCTGTCCTAGAACTGGCTCTGTAGACCAGGCTGGCCTCCAACTTGGAGATCCGCCTGCCTCTGCCTCCCAAGTGCTGGGATTAAAGGTGTGCGCCACCACTGCCTAGGGACTTTTAAAAACTTCCTGTGGGTGTCTTCTAGGCTTTGAAAGAGTTAATGGGAGCACTGTCACTCCTGGTTTTTCTGTTTGCTCTGGCCCCGCTCTTATCTAACCAATGGCCAAAGGGTTATATAACTTTAGAAGTTTCTCTCTTCCCCACTGGCTGAGCATTTTAGAAAACCCCTGCTTAAGTAATCAAGATAACCTTTTCAAATTCCTTAGAGTCCAAGCGTTTTGGTGTTCTCCACTGGAGTCCTGTTTGAAAAAAGAAAAAATGAGGAAGAAAAGAAAAGGCAGGGAAAAGAGGGCATAGTCTCTAATCTCTAATATTCCTTGCAGCCTGCCTCTTTGGCATAGACACACTGTCCAGATAAACTTCCTAAGTGTGTCCCCAAGTTTCTGAGAAAAGCTTCTGCTGGACAACGGCCAGGAAGGGAAAGAGGAGCCAGGTGAGGGACAAATTTTCCTTTTGGATGGAAAGACAAGGGCACACATGGCCTGGCTGGGGAGCCAGCCAGGAGTAGGTCAGATCAGAGCAACAGCCTGATAAGGCTGCCTGCGCTGCCACTCACTGGACGACAGATGGTACATGGTGGCCCTGAACACCTTCGTTTTCTCGCCCTTAGGTATGTAGTGTGATGGCTGCGAGGTGTGGGCGGCAGGCCACAACCCTGCACCTGCCCTCAGCCCAAATCAACCCATTCCTAGCCACACTAATCTAAGCTGGAGGAGCCACGCCATGGACTTTCTTTCTCCATGTTTTTTCTACCCTCCCCCGCTTCATTTCCTTTTTGTTTTCTGTTGCTGAGTCTTGCTCTGTAGCCCAGACTGTTCTCAAACTTTTTTTTTTCTCTTTTTTTGAGTCAGGGTCTCTTTGTAGTTCATAACAGGGTTTCTCTGTGTAGCCCTGACTGTCCTAGAACTCTCTGTAGACCAGGCTGGCCTCAAACTCACAGAGATCCGCCTGCCTCTGCTTCCCGAATGCTGGGATTAAAAGCGTGCGCCACCACTGCCTGGCTGGTTATATCATTTTGATTTGGTTGTTTGCAGCCCAGCTTGCTTGTTCTGAAGGTGACCAAGCCATGATTTACCTCCCACCTCAGACTATAGTGGTCTTTGGAAAAGCTCAATCCAAGAAGGTACAGACGAAGCATAGAAATGCAAACCTCTTCTGCAGTCACCGCGTGGGGCCTGGGGAACCTGGTCATCAATTCGTTTTCCCTTTCTGGCCCCTGTGTGTCTTTCCAGAGGTCCTGCCCAGAAGGGATTTTAATGCGTTAGTCATTTTTTCCATGTCCAGGGTTTGCTACTGTGTTCTCAAATACTTCCCTGAGATCTCCTCTAAGATGACTGGCTCTCCTTGGGTTCTGGTTTTCTTGCCCCCTTTTCAAGGACATTTTTATTCTCATCCATTCTTCTTATGTAATCCTCTTCCTCTCCCCTGCTCGCCCCTTCTGCCCTCCTGTGCCTGTGGAGCCCCGAGGCCAACCCGGGGTGCTGTTCTTCATGAATCGTTCGGATTTTTTTTAAAAAAAAATTATTTGCTTTTATTTTATGTGCACTTGCGTTTCCTCTGCATGTATGTCTGTGTGAGGGTGTCAGATCTTGGAGTTCCACACAGGTGTGAGCTGCCATGTGGGTGCTGGGAATTGAACCCGGGTCCTCTGGAAGAGCAGTCCTAGTGCTCTTAACCCCTGAGCCATCTCTCCAGCCCAGATGGATTTGTTTTGTTTCATGCATGTATGCGTGTGTGAGTGTGTGTGTGTGTGTGTGTGTGTGTGTGTGTGTGTGTGTCAGGGTCTCTCATTGGAAGCTGAAGTTGGTCAATTGAGCTACACTAGCTGGCCAACAAGCTCCATGGATCCTCTTGTCTCTGCCTCCCCTGGACTGAGATTATAATTGCATGACAGCTACTATGTCTGCCTTTTTCCGAGGTTGCTCATTTCCGCACGCCTGCTCTGCCGGCGCTGTACTGACCACGCCACCTCCCCGGCTGCCAATGTGCTCCTCCACCCTTGTCTGCTGACCTTCTCAGGTCTGGGGCTGAAGGCAGGGCTGAGACCTAGTAGCACAGGCCTGGTCTTTGCTTCTTTGCTGTGGTGTGAATTCCGTTGTCTGCTTCCCTCACTGTGCATTCTGGGTAGATTATCTTCCCCCTTTTGAACAGTTCCTAATACCCGGTGTCTTCCATGAAGCCTTATCAGAATCTCTGGACTGGCCATCTTCCCTGCTTCTGGCCCCTTTCCTTCCTATCCCATGGCAGCCAGCCCTGTCACAGTGTAAAACATCGAGAGCCCTGGACCAAGAGATAAGAGACCTGGGGTCAGTGTCACTCACTTCCCATTTGAGTTTCCTTTTGCTTTTTCATCTTTTGCCATAGAGGCTAAATAGTAAAACTCTCAAATTCCCAAATTCCTGTTGGTGGTTATGTGACGCATGCCAGTCAGCTTGAAGTAGGCAGACATCTCTGCACAGGAGTTCTTGTCTCTTGAATGGAGAAGATTTTAATACCGTTGCCTTTTCTTTTTCTTTTTTTCAGTCTGAAACGTGAATGCCATACTTATAGGTGCAGCAGCCATTTTGGCACCATGAGGATGAAAACTACGTCCTGTGGATGATGGGTAGGAAGCTAGGACTCTGGGTCCTTGATAACTTGGGCAGTTACATGAACACTGGATTCTATATATTCCTCTGGATTTCTTTCTTTTTAAAATGGCTCCTACATTTTAGTTAATTAATTGCATTTATTTCTGGTGTGGGTGTGCATGTGCCACAGTGTGTGTGTAGAGATCAGAGGACAACTTTTTTCCAGGGATGGAAGGCAAGCTGTCAGGCTTGGCGGCAAGCGCCTTTACCCACTGAGTCACCTCACCGGCCCCTCCTCTGGATTTCTTAATTTATCAGAAACAGAAACTCATTATGCGTGTGCACCATGGTTTGTTAGGGGTTCTGGCGCTCATAACACGCTTTTCTGAGACAGGATCTCAGGTAGCCTAGCCTGGCCTCAAACTAGGCATGTAGCTCAGGCGCACATGTGGAAGCCAGGGCCCTGTAGACGGGGTTCTTTCCTTCTACTCTGATCTGGGTTCTGGGATTGAACTCAGATCCTCAGGCTTGCACAAGCAGCACCTTTCCCCAGGTCCATTCTAACTCATTCTGAGGGCCGGAGAAAGTGCTTGACTTCCCTGGGCCTCTGTTGCTTTATTTATGAAATTACTATTTATGGATAGATGTTTTAGAAGAGTTTTAACAACAATAATAATAATGATGACAATTATTAATTTTTGCGATGGTCTCATATGGCCCAAGCTGACCTAGAATTCCCTATGTAGCTGAGGATGGCCTTGAGCTTCTGATTCTCCTACCCCCAACTCTCTAGTGCTAGAATTGGAAGCATGCACCACCATGCCCAACTAAAGATTTTTTAATAATAAATATATTCTGTTTTTTAGGGCATGGAGCCCATGGTAGCTAGGTAAGTGCTTTACCACTTACATCCTTAGTATTACCATTTATAGGTGTGATCTCCATTTTCTTTTGTCTCTATCCTGTATTTAGGCCTCTTTTTTTCAGACTAGCATCCATCTTTTGAATTAAGGTCTCTTCCATCTTCAATTTTTTATGCCTTGCTGGACCTAGTGGTGCATATGCCTGTAATCCCAGCACTAGGGAGGTAGAGATAGGAGGATGGACATTTGAGGCCAGCCTGGGCTACATAATGAGACACGTCTCAAAATATAAAGTAAAATAAAATATAAAACCAAAAGAGTGAAAATGTTGGAGATGTAGCTCAGTTGCTAGAGTGTGTGCTTAGAATACATGAAACATTGGGCTGGATCCCCAGCACCCCAAAACCAGGCATGGTGGTAAATACTTCTAATCTGAGAACTCAGGAGGTGGAGGTAGGACAATTAGAAGTTCAGGTTAATCCTTGTCTATTTATTGTCTTGGTTACTTTTGGAACAGTAGCTGAGAACTCAGATGCAGAGAGAGAGGGAGACAGAGAGAGGAAGGGAGAGAGGGAGGTTGGAAGGAAGGGAGGGAGGGAGGGAGGGAGGGAGGGAGGGAGGGAGGGAGGGAGGGAGGGAGAGAGAGAGAGAGAGAGAGAGCCAGAGAGAGCTAGCTAACTGGAAATGATGTTAGTCTTTTGAACCCTCAAAGGTGGTCCCCAATGACACACCTTCTCCAACAGGGTCACACCTCCTAATTCTTCCCTAACAGCTCCAACAATTGGGAATCAAGCATTCAAATATATGAGCCTATGGGAGTCATTCTTATTCAAACCACCATTGCTTCATAGGGAGTTTGAAGCTAGCCTGGACTACATGAGACCCTGTTTTGTACCACCCAAATGTTATAGATGCTTGTGTTCATAGGTGTCATATGCTTCCTGGAGTACAGGCTCCAGGGATTTGACACAATGCCTGATATGCACAATGCATGTTCAATAAGTAAGTTGTTGGGGACAGAACCAATCACCCCCTTGGTGTGAACTTAAGCAGGCAGGCATGCCTCTGTGTGTGTGTGTGTGTGTGTGTGTGTGTGTGTGTGTGTGTGCAGAGAGAGAGGGAGAGAATCTTTGTGTGTATGTCTCTTTGTGTCTATGTCTGTAGGTCTGTGAAATGAATTGATACTTCGTATGAGTGAGACTCAATGATGGCTATGCCCAACTATGCAGCAAGAAAAGCCCCCATCTCAGTGTTTTCCCACAAGCCCTGCTCTGTCCCTCATGGGTGGTGGCAGCATTTACCACTTCAGGCCATGGGTTGGATTTAAGTTGGCTCCAGTGGTCATCAGATCCCAGGTGAGCCGGTAGTGGTGGTGCACGCCGGTAGGATTTGCTGAAGGAGGCAGAGGCAGGAGGATCAGATCCCAGGTGGAAGAGCATTGCCTCCCGTGGAGGGGAGATGCTGCGAATGAAGGAGGCAGTCAGGAAGCCACTGTGGGTCAAGGTCACCTGCCCAGCAAGTTTAATAAGGATGAGACACATTCCAAGAACATATATATATATATATATCTCCTACTACACAACTCTAGAACATACATCCTGTCACTAGAGAGAAAGAAGCCTGGATATGGTACAGGTTAGTGACCTCACACGGTCTTGTGCAACTGGAAGAAGCAGTAAACAGGCTGCCCTCATGCCAGCCATGGGACACTTCTTTTTAAAAGCTAGTTTTTATTTATATGGATGTCTGTGTATGTGCTTGGTGCCCTTGGAGGTCAGGAGAGGGCATCAGATCCCCGGAAGCTTGAGCTAGGGATGGCTGTGAGCCACCATCTGGGTGCTGAGAACCAGACTGAGGTTTATGCAAGAGTAACGAATGCTCTTAACCACTGAGCTGTCTTCCCAGTCATCTTTTTGTTCATTTAAAAAAATTATTTAATTAGGTTTTTTTTTTTTTTTTGAGACAGGGTCTCAGTGTAGCCCAAGCCAGCCATGAACTTACTACTAACAGAGAATGACCTTGAACTCCTGATTCCCTGGCCTCCACCACTGCCAAGAGTCAGAATTTTGCACATAAACTATACTGCCCGCCATTTTTGTTTGAGACAGGGCCTTGCTATTTAACCTAGGCTGGCATAGAACTCACAGTCCTTCTTCGGCTCCCCAAAAGCCAGGACTAAGTCCTGGCTAAACACTCATTCAACCGGAAGTGCAGTAGTTTTACTTATTACCACATGACCACAGACATATGCAGTGTATGGAGCTCTGACCTGGGAGCAGTATGGCTAGGTGACAGAAATTTTCCAGATCCATTTTATCTTTATGGGGCCACCTGGTGATTGATGGGCTGTAGGGGGAGGGGCAGCTGGCCTGAGGCTACAGGGGTAGAACCCTACTGCTTGGGGCCCACAAGGTGGTCCAGAGGAAGGAAGGACTGGGAAGGCTGTCTCCAGGTGCGCAATGAGGTGTTGCAGACTGCCATGAGGACCTTAGGATCTCTGCACCCAGTGCGGATAGCGCACGCTCCTGGAGAAACAGCCAGTGCCAGGCAGATGGTGCAGCTTACGCATGTGCAGTTAAGGATGTTGCTGTGGATCTTGCAAATCAATTTTGCCACCTTCCCTAATCTGCCAACTCTCATTCCACTGTGCATTCTTAGTGGGGAAGAATTTTGATTCCCATTTTCTTATTATGAAATATTGGACTACAAGAAAGCAATGCCAATTAAGCTTTCAGCTATGGGGGCGCTTTTCTCCCATGTGGCTATTGTTTGGAGCCTCAAGAAGGTAGACTGAAGGAAGAATTGAGGCTTCACCTTAGGGTTTTTGAAGGTTTACCTGGCTCAGGCAAGAATGGATTTGAGGGAGGGCCAAGGGTAGACAGATAGTTTACCTCTTAGAATCAGTATGGTCCAAAGCAATGATACTTGATCCTGTGAGTTTAAAACCTGCAGCCATACAATGCTCACCAGCTGACATGATCCAGCCCGTCCATCTCTTCCCAACTGCATTTGAGATATGGACTTGGCATTGAAAAGCCCAGACAAGGGAATTTATACTGCAGCTATTCACAGTGCTACAGACTTGGCTTTTTTTTGGAAGGGAGTTGAGACAGGATTTCTCTCTGTAACATCCCTGGATGTCCTGGAACTCGCTTTGTAGACCAGGCTGGTCTCGAACTCACAGAGGCCCACCTGCCTCTGCCTCCAGAGTGCTGGGATTAAAGGTGTGAGCCATCCCACTGCCATCACGGTCTCTCTTTTTTTGAGACAATTTCATGTATCTTGCCTGCCTGGATGTTGGGATTATAGGTGGGAGCTACTACATCTGGTGCTGGGATTAAACCCAGGATATTGTGCGTGATAGGTAAGGGCTCTACCAACTGGGTCACATTCCTCTCCTCCTCTCTCTCCTTTGGGGACAGGTTTTTGTAGCCCAGCGTGGCTTAGAACGTATTTTGTAACCAAGGCTGGCCTCAAAGAAGCAATCCCCCTGCTTCAGCCTCCTTAGTGGTAGGGTAAAAGGGGAGAGCTACCATGTCTGACTCCCAGACTTACTTTCTTTCTTTCTTTCTTTCTTTCTTTCTTTCTTTCTTTCTTTCTTTCTTTCTTTCTTTCTTCCTCCCTCCCTCCCTCCCTCCCTCCCTCCCTCCCTCCCTCCATCCTTCCTTCCTTCCTTCCTTCCTTCCTTCCTCCTGGAGAAGCTACCTATTAAACGTATTTACCAGCCTGCTATTGCTGATCCGGTCATGTCCCTGCCATTAGACCTCTGGAGAAGTATTACGTTTTTAGAAATCTGCTGTCCCAGTGGGACATGGTGGCACAAACTTGTGTGATCCCAGCACTTGGGAAAGAGGAAACAGGATCAGGAGCTCAAAGTCATCCTAGGCTGTGTAGTGAGTTCAAAGGCAGCCTGGGCTGTATGAAGCCCTGTCACCAACCCGGGCTGTATGAAGCCCCGTCACCAACCCGGGCTATATGAAGCCCTGTCACCAGAGGAACCGACCTGGAGTGAACGAGCTGGGGTAAATGAGTGAGCGTGCGCGAGAGGGCAGGAGGGCCGCAAGACTTTGGGCTGGCTCCTCATTTAGCTTCCGAGTCTTGCTGTGGCATATTTGTGTTGACTCGTGCCTTTGAGGCAGATTTGGGCGTCAGCCTATGCAGCCTTGTATGCC